GAGTATTCTTTTCCCTTAATAAATTATCAACGATTATTGGCCGCATTTGCCTCCATCTTTTTCTTTCATTCATTTCGACATTTCTTACAAACTCATCCCCCTTACCTTTCCCACCCTCACCATCACTCCCTTTACTTCTACACAAACTCTTATCTCTTCGATCTTTCATCTCTTTCTCATTCTTTCTCGTATCTTTCATTACCCTCACACCAAAACCACCCCCTTGTATTGTTTTTTTTTTTTTTTCAAAGAAACCAAGTAGTCGAGCGGAAATGATCCATTTATTCGCGATATTTATGCATTCGTTTAGAATCATTTTCATATTCTGTTATCTTCAAAATGTTAACATAACTTTTCAACGTAATCTAATTAATTTTTCTCCCCCTTTTTTTTACACGAAGATCGATTAAAAAGCACAAACTTCCTTTTTTATTGTTTTATTCAAAAATTAATTCCAAAAGTAGTCGTATTAATAATTAATTATACGATTGACATGAGAGAAAACAAAATATATTTCTCGGGGAAAGAAAGAAAAAAGGAGAAAAAAAAAAAAATAGAAAGAATAATAAAATCGGACGGAAAGTGCGAGACGTTAAAAAGGAAAAATTAAAAAAAAAAAGTAAAGAAAGAGATGAGAGACTAAACGAAAAATAAATATAAGTAAAGAAAGTGGCTGGGTTGTCGTCGGGGGAAGACGAAAAAAAAAAAACAAGAAAAAAAAGATAGACGAAGACAGATTTACAGAAAGAGAAAAAGAGAGACAGAGAGAGAGAGAGAGAGAGAAGAGGTTAAAGGGTAAAAGAAAGAAAGAAAGAAAGAAAGAAGAAGGGTTTAGGTAAAGCGCGGAGTTTCCCACAGTTTTTAAAAAACTACTAAGCATTCCGCGTGTTTGTTTGAACGTTCACAATACCATTAGAAGTGCCTTTTAACCCCGTCAGTTGTTGTCGTCATCGTCTGCGTCGTCTACCAACGTCGTCGTCGAGACCAACCACCACCACCACCACCACCCTTATCCAAAGCCCTCCCCCCCTGAACAACCCCACTCTTCCATCTCCACCTCCACCTCATCCCTTGTTCTCTCGTAATCCTCCCAAACCCCTTGGCAGGTTCTCTGCGAGCACCTAGTCTCTTTCTATTTCTCATTCTCTTATTTTTCTTTCTTTCTTTCATTCTTTCTTTCTTTCATTCTTTCTTTCTTCTATTTTCTTTTTTTTTTTTTTTGTTTTTTTCTTTGAAAGCTCGGTTCGGGCTCTTCTCACGATGGAAAACTCAGTCGGGTAAAGCACAACTCGGCAAAACGCATTCCTATACTCTTTCCGTGGTCTTTTGCACACCATCAAAACTTGTACACACAGACACACAGACACATCGTTTACCAACGATTCCAGATTTTTTTACCAAGTAAAAGTAAACATGGAGTAAAGCCAGAGAGTAGTTACGTTACACGCGTATAACTCGAATACATAAAAAACACAACCTGCGACCTACTACTACTACTACTACTACTACTACTACTTTTATTTCATACATATATATACTTTCATACTAACTTCATACTCTACACGTTCATCATCCGTACCACCAAACCCTCTCGTCTCGACCGTTAAGTCATAACGTTTGTTTTCATGCTTACTTTGCGTTCGCCGAACGAAAAAAATCTAACAAGTACCTCTCCTTGGAGTCCCGTGACGTACGGGGAATAGACTAAGGGGTTGTGGTTGTGACCCTGTCGACATAGGGGGTTCAAAATCTTGCTAGAATTGTCGAGTGATTTCTACTAATATTTCTGATTTTCTATCCCTTGCATAGTTTATTTTTTATGCATTTAGGATTATTTTTTATCATTCGTTTTGTGATTCTTAAGTATTGACTCATGTTCGGGGGTGGTAAGTTTTATTATGTTACTTTTAATATTGAATTTTGATATTTATATTTAATCATAACTATATAATTTATCTTTAATTTAATAAAATGTATGTGTGTGCTTTTAAAATGGATATTTAATAGCATAGGATTTATGTTCAAATAAATATTAATTGTTTGAATGTACTAATGTGTGTTCTTTTTCATTTAAATCGTTCACTCAAAAAATTAGTATGAGAATTTACAATCTTATTATCAATTCAATAATTTATTTTCAAATATTAATTAATATAAATAAGAAAACAATTAACTTCGTTATTACTATAAACAAAATTATACAAACATCTGCAGTTTATAATGAAATATATTATTACTTAAAAATTAAATTTAAATACATTTCATAGAAAAATTATAACAGATATAAATATATACGTTATCACACATAAAATTAAACAAACAATAAGTTTCCTGAACGTATAGAAAATCCCCATACCCATTAATCAATTCTGAAACATCATCCACTCGTCCGAAATTTCTTCTTTCAAACAAATTAAATAAGTCAAAAATAACAAATATATAAAAGAAATAGTAAGAAAATGGATTTGAATGATAGACAGACAGTCAGAAAAAGAGACATGGAAAAAAGTAAATTGATGGTAGGAATCCAAAAGCAAGAAGTGTTTAGGGTGGTGCTTTCGCAATGCAAAGGAACCGCGGAATCTCTCAACTGGATTCTATCTCATCCCTTCATGACTGAAACGTTTCTCAAAACTTTGCTAAATTTTTGGTCGGAGTTCCCATACTCTCAAACCCCATACCCTTACATCTAGCCCCCACCCCCAACCAAAACCCCAAACTCCGATCCTAACTCAAACTCTTATCTATATTTCTATACGTGCACGATTACATACATGAATACAAATATGAATAACACGCGTATGAACACGTGTATAAGTGTATATGTTGTATATGTGTGATTCCAATGGAAAAGTAGAATGAAAAAGGGGACGATATATATTTATGCACGTATATGTGTATATGTGTAAATACGTGTACACACTTTTACGTTTCGAACAAAATACAAAGAGAATCCTAGGGAAAAAAGGAAAGAAAGAAATGAAGTGGGGGTTGGGGAGGGATTGAGGGGGGGGAAGAAAAAAAATAAAATAAAATATAAACGTCACGCGAAAAGCTCGATGAAACTTTCAAACGAGTTTTTCTCCAAGCTCGGTCCTTGCCAACTTCTTCTTCTTATTCTTCTTATTCTTATTCTTCTTATATTTTTTTTTACTTTCTTATTTTTTCTGTATATATATAAATACATTCCGTTTCGTCAACCGTTTCTATTCTTTTTACCCATGCCAAAGATTTTTCTATCTGTTCGTAAAAGGAGACCAAAAGTTTCTTCCTCTCGATGACAATTTTCTTAATTTTTTTTTTTTTCTTTTATTTAAATGTTACTCGTGTCAGATTGTTTAGAAAAAAAAAAAAAACTAATGAAGGAAGAAAAAGTAAAATAGAAGAACGCGAAAGAAAAAAAAGAAGGGGAAAAGAATAAGTAGCAAAGAGAAAATAAAAACTGGAGGGAAGAAAAACAAAAAAAAAACACAAGAATTATACCAGACGAGGTTAACGGAAAAAAAAGAAAACAAAAAAATAATAATGGAGAGAGAAAAGGGTTGAAGGGTATGGGGGGGCGGGGGTTTAGTGGAGGTAAATGGGAAAAGGGTTGATTTTTTTTAAACTTGGCTTCTTCGTTTACAGGATTCCATGTAATTAATTAGAATTTTTCTAAGAGGAATAAAGAAAATGAGTGGTAAACTCGCAACTCGCGTAGGAAAAACGTACGAGTGTTGTTTATATAAAAATGAATCATATTTTATATTCGAAAGAGCCCAGAAAATAAAGAAATAAATGAAAGAAGGGAATGGTGAGGAGTAGAAAGAAGGTGGGGTGGGATGGGGGTGGTAAAGAAGGAGACGAACGTGAAACGAAAAAACGTAGAAGATATTTGTGAAAAAAAGAATTAGTCGGGGTGGGTGAGAATCCAAGGGGTGGGTTTTCAGAATGAGAGACGAAAAAAGGTGAAAGTAGCGAAGGGCGAAAGGGTGTAGGATTGGGTTGGGACGGACGGACGGAAGAAGAAGAAGAAGAAGAAAAAGATGAAGGGTAGGAAAGAAAATAGCAAACGCGAAGTAGTAGCTTTAACAAACGAAAACAAAAAAAAATGAAGAAAGAAAGAAAGGAAAAAAAAAATATTCAGAGAAAAACAAAGCTTACCACCCGTCAGCGAATTAAGAACGATATTTTAACGCTCGACTTAATTGTATTAAATTACGAATATAAGGGTAGTGATTGTTATGGTGGTGGTGAACGATGGGGAAAACGAGGATGAGTAGATGAATACGGAAAAATGATGAAGAAAATATGAGGATGAGTAGAGAAAGAACAAAAATTATTACATAAAATCGGGAAGAAATTATTAATATATATATGTGTGTTTGTGTGGGTGTGTGCATTTTTTTCGGTTTCAACGAGATCATTTTTTCTATTTTTTTTGTTGTTTTTGCACAGTGGAAAAATATTTCATCGTACTCGTTTGTGTTTGATTTTTCTTCTGTTTTTTTCTTTTTCTTTTTTTTTGAAGTTTACCAATTATTTTGGTAAATAATTACAATTACAATTGTTATACACAAAAGTCGAAATGAAAATAATAATATTAAGTGGTAGGGTCCAATTGTCACGCGAGTGTTTTTTATTTAATTGTTTTAACGATTGAAAGGAAAATATAAAACAGAAAAATGAATAATCGAAAAACATAATTGTAATGATGGTATATAAAGTTTTATAACGATTCGATTATTGATATTAGAATACATTTCTTCTCTTTTTTCTAAATTTCTTTCTTTGATTTATTAATTGAAGATGTTATATTATGGCGTAGAAATTGTTTAAAAATATCTAATAAGAATAAAGAAAATAATATAAAGAGAATAGAAAAGAATATTATGGGGAAAAAGATGGGATTAGATTTGTAATGAATATTTAGATGACACAATCGTTAATCTTAATCTAAACATTGAAAAAGAAACATTATATAAATGCATAATTGTAAATTAATTATTAATAAACAATAATTAATCGACGTGATGAAGCTTTTTATGATTTTCCAAGGTAACCTGACCTTTGAAATATTTGTCACAATCCTCGCAATAAAAGCGCAATTTATTTTCGTGACACTTCAGGTGTTTGTTAAGTAGGTCCTTTCGCGCGAAAGTTTTTTCGCATGACGTGCACGGAAACTTATCGGGATTCACGTGAAAAGTATTGTGACGTGTTAGATTGTCCATTCGCGTGTATTTTTTCGTACAAATGTCGCAGGTAAATTTGTTCTTTTCCAAATGGGATTTTTGATGATGACGCAAATATCTTTTACGGGAAAATATTTTCTTGCAGACGCAGCACGTTATTTCGTTATTCGTTTCTGAATTAATCTTACCGTCCATGTGCTCGCTCAATTGTAAATAATTCGAAAATTCCTCATGGCAAAATGGACAAATTGGTTTTTTCGCTTGCAATTGTTGCCTCTGCTGTTGTTCCAATTGTTTTTGTTGCTGTTGTTGCAATTGTTGTTTCTTATTTTTTTGTATATTTTCTAAAAACGTCGGATCTGTCATGATCTTGTAAAGAAACGTGTCCTTTAATTTGTCAGCAGGATCTATCGATGATTGATACATTTGATCGTCAACATTTTGATCCAAACTTTCTTTCTGTTCCTCACTTTCTTTAACTTTAACTTTCGTTACCGATTGAACATTACAATCACGAATTGACAGATCTATTACTTCTAAATTATTTGTATTATCGTCTATCGGATATGATTTTGATTCTTCTATGGTATACCATTTGAAACATTTGCAGGTCGATGGTCCAGCGACTGCATCCACGAAATATTTCTCCTTTTCCTTCTACACAATTATATTTTAATTATTATAATATATTTTATTAAACAAAAACAACGTACAAACGAATAATTTCGAAATTCGACGATTTGGTTTTGATATATTTTTTTTTAAATTAATTCAACTAAAATACGAAAATCAATTTCAATTCGTATAACATTAATATATATTGTTATATTTATATATATAGAATATAAATAATTTAAATAAAAAAAATTAAATTAATTGACTAAAGTGTCAAAGTTACTTTTATAGAATAAATAAAATATGTAAAACACACGAAAAAGTGTATGTACCGATCGAAAGAACTGTCAAAATTTCTGAGAGCTTTCGCGAACTTTACTCTCTTTAAATGAAATATGTAGAAAAACATTCGCGACTCTGTATGTGTGTTCTGACTGTAGATGTGTGTGCGTGCGTGTGCGTTGGACGTTTACATCACTAACGTGAAACGTGTACAAGTTTCTTATGAACGTTTATCATTGAAAGGACACCAATATAACCTTACATACACATAGAAACGTTTAATAAGGTGAATCGAAAAGTATATAAAGTAATATAAACGTGTTATAGCTGTCAAACGATATTTCCATCCTACCTCTCGAAATTCTGTTACGTCTTTCATTCTCAACGAATTATTAGAAATAATGTTTTCCTCTTGATTATTATTATTGTTATCCTTTTTAACCAATGTATTTAGATTTTCCGTGTTAGATGCGGTAGCACCTATGTCATTTTGAACAATCATGTGTCTCGGTACTGTTTTCACTCTCATCTTAATATCTTTTTTTTCCTTTCTATGTAATCCAACGTAAACGTTATGATTATTAATCTCTTTCTCTCTCTCTCTCTCTCT